GGCCATCAAGGGTATGCATATCTGAAAAGCCACCAAGCGTTTGAAAGATGTCACTTTGTAGAAGCAATTTATGCCGTTCTGACGTTATAATGGTGGAGTTGGTAGGTGTGCCCAGCCCAGACATTGGGGCTGGACACAGGGTTGGTGGCCCAGAAAGAGTACTGAATTTGCTGCACACGCTTAAAAATGTGGAGAGTAATGCTGAACTTAAAGGTTTAAAAGTAGATTCTCTGGTTATTGAACAAAGCCCCCAAGGTGCACCACCACACTTACAGAGCTCATGGTCAGATTAACCCATACACAAGCTCTCCCTGCCACACTGAGATGATCCTTACTAAAAAGGAACAAATTGTTCCTAAACCAGAAGAGGCGCTGCACAGAAGAAAAAGATATCCCAGAAGAAAAGTAAGAAACAAAAATGTATGGCTCAGGAGTAAATTCAGCTTAGAATAAAATGCAAATAAAAGTAAAAGCAGAACAAAACAAAACACAACACAACACACTCTTTGTCAGCAATATTAAGTATCCAACATATACAGAGTCCCAGACTAGGGAATATGAAAGACATCCAATACATGATGCTCTCTTTGGGAGCCCTTGTAGTCTAGTCGAGAGACCCATGAGATGGCTGAAGTGAGAGCATGGATCCTTCAGAGGCCCAAGTGAAATCAAGATTACCTGGGATTAGGCCAGAAGGGTTTCCTGGGGAGGAGGCTTTTAAAGTAAGGTTGGGAGAATGGGAAGAGAAGCCCCTAGCAGGTGTTAAGCACTTACCAGGGCCTCAAGGAGAAGCTCTGGTGTCATACTGGTTAAAGCATTTGGTTGCTAACCAAAAGGTTGGCAGTTTGAACCCACCAGCCGCTCCACAGAAGAAAGATGAGGCATTCTGCTTCTGTAGAGATTTGCAGCCCTGGAAACCCCATGGGGTAGTTCACTTTGTCCTATAAGGTCACTATGAGTTGGAACTGACTCAATGGCAATGGGTTTGGGTTTTGGTTTAGGGCCTCGGGCACCTCACACAGTAAGAATTACTTGTTTGCATTTGTTTCTGCTCCTTTCTCAATGGGTTTTAGTTTTTGGTTTTCTACTCCTTTAGAGTTAGTATCTGGAAGGGAAGGACCTTGTTTTTATCTCTGTATCCCCAGGCAGTGCCTAACTCGTAGCAGTTGCTGAATAACTATTTGGAGAAGGGTAAGAGGAAATGAGAAAATAAATATACAGAAGTGGTGGTAACAAGGCCTCTGGAGGGGATGGAACAAATTAACTTGATAAGAATAGGGAGCTGGTGTTTGACAGCTTGTGAAATCCAGTAACAAAACAGCAATGCAATACATTTTGGGAGCAATTGTGGAAATTTGAATATGGACTGAGTACTAGATGATGTTGGAATTATTGTTTGTTTTCCTAGTGTCTATTGTATTGTGGTTATATGGGAGGTCATCGTTCTTAGTAGATGCATGAGGCATGAGGCAGTCAGTCTGCTTCTGTAAAGATTTAAAGCTTTGGAAACCCTCTGGGATTTACCCTGTCCTATAGGGTCAGAAAGGAGCTCTGGTAGCATAGTGGCTAAGGCACTTGACTGCTAACCAGAAGGCTGGCGGTTCAA